GTAGGTGGAGTAAACAGATCAGAACGCTGGGAGGAAGAGGAAGTGAGGTCAGAGACTCCACAGCTCTGCTCTCCTCCTGGGAGCAGACCCCTGAGAGAGACACCATGCTCCCGGCTCCTGGGCAGACACACGCCATGAAGCAAGCCGCCAGGTTAGACATGCTGAACCTTTCCCGGTAAGACCGGTGCTCACCGATTATTAGAGATGGGTTGATCGGGATATCAGAATTAGCCAGTAAGGGCTAGGGCAGAAGGGCCAAGCAGTGATTAAATGAATACAGTTTGTGTGTTGTTATTTCGGGCATAAGCTAGCTGAGCGGGCGGCTGGGGTGCTGGGGGAGCGGCCCCGCCGCCCTTATTACTTCACCCTGGTGACCAACAACACGTGCACGAGAGCTTTGAGGACTTTCCATCTCCATTGTATAGACCCGGACCCTGGAACTGGGGTGAGACCTTGTAACCATCATAACATTGATCAAGGCTCCTCCTTGTAACCATGACATTGATCAAGGCTCCTCCTTGTAACTGTTACAACATTGATTAAGTAGAGTTAGCTGACCGTTAAATGAACTAGTCAAAATAGTAGACAAATGATTTGGGGGCTTTCCCTTTGATTTTGTACTCCCCCCCTCCCTGATTTTGTGGTTTTTTCCTTTAAAAGAGCTTGTAATAGACAAAGTAGTCATCCTTCTCCTCTCGAGGCTGGGGGACGTCTGCCGTGGCAGAATAAAAATTCCTTTTGCTATTGCATCAACCGTGTTGTGAGTGTCTCTTGGGGCGACCTCCTCCTTGGTGGGGCTTTAGGGCCCAACACCTGCTGCTCCCAATACTCTTTAAGCAGATTAAGCCATAGAGCAAAGTTATTCAGAGGTCGGCCCATAGGCCCATGAGTTAGCAGGGACCATGTCGGACTTCACAACACAGGGAATATGGCGGCAGGTTCCCACCCAGATACAGGGAGGCTGCACCATAGTGTTTTCCCCCACCTCACCCTCTGCTCTTCCCTATCAGGAGACAAAATCCCCTCACTCACCATGCTGTGGTTCTCCATTTTGCCAAAGTTCTCAGCTCATCGTCTCCCTGCAACAGCAACTGCACCAGAGAACAATAATCCACTGGCGCCAGCTCCTCTTCAAAGCCAAGACTGAAGGCAGCTTCCTGGAAGAGACCTGCACTGCTTCTGACTGGCAGGTCACCTGGAGTCCGTGATTGGCTAGTGAGTCCTGAGTGGCTAGAGCACCTCCCATAGGGCTACAGTGTGCTTAAAGGGACAGAATACTGGTTCCTGTCCATTCCATTCACCCCAACAGAGAACTTTTCCAGATCTGAGAATGTATGTATTTCAATAGCACTGGCCCCTGGCTACAAAAGCAATCAATGTCATCTTCTTCCACTCCAAAGGAACTTTGCCTATTTCCTGCTGGATGCAACATAACTAGCTAGCTTGTACAGTGCACTGTGCTAGGTGGGCCGAGCAATGTCCTGTCCTACAGGGGTAAGGATACCTAGGATACTAACAACTAAAAAAGGTTTAAAGTTACAAAATGAAATATTTGTTCTGTGGCTTCACTCTGAGGTCAGATGAACTGAAGGTACTTTTTCCATGGTTTTCACAGGGATTTTAAACAACAGGAAAGAGAAAAGCAGGAACCAGATCTCAATCAAGATGATTGGGCTTTCCCCCATCAGAAAGCTGGATAATGACTCCATTGCTTATGGGTTTTATTCCTTAAATTGGAAGCAAACATCAGGCAAAGGAATAATAATAAAAAGAGTAGTGTTCGGGGAAATTTGAATATGTAGAGAATAATGGAGCTAGGAAGAATGACTTCATGAGCACTATTGTCAGCCAGCACATCTCCCTCCATGGTCAGGTGAATAAAATATACAACTGCAGTATTCAAGATTCTCTACATGAACAGGTCAGGTAGAATGATTCTCACCATTATGTAAAAAGCGAGCTTATTAGAATGTATCACAAGCTGTGGTCCAGGTAACTTAAGAACAGCTGCTTACCAATGGCAATTGAAGAATCCAATAGATTGCTTCTCAGCCTTTTGTCTAAGATCAAGCGAAGAATCTAGTAGTTGTTCTGCCCACAGTGCTCAATGTCTCAGCTGGTTTAAGTATTCACCAAATTTACAATGAAGTAGGCTCTAATGCTAGTAAAGGAATGAACTTGGTAGCCAGAGCTAGAGCACTGAGGCAAAAAAGAGACTTTTCTCCTTCTATATACTTTATATGAGCCGGGCAGTGGTGGCGCTCGCCTTTAATCCCAGCACTCGGAGGCAGAGGCAGGCAGATCTCTGCGAGTTCTAGGCCAGCCAGGTCTACAAGAGCTAGTTCCAGGACAGGCTCCAAAGCTACAGACAAAGCCTGTCTCAAAAAGCTTTAAAAAAAAAAATACTTTATTTGTGACTGCTGCTACCAGAATGTAAGATGCTGACTAAAATTGGATCATAGTCTTTGTTTGATTCGAATTTATTTTTTGGTGATTTCAAGACAGGATTTTTCTGTGTAGATGTGGAACTCATTCTGTAGGCCAGACTGGTTTAGAACTCAGAAAATCCCATCTCTCCAGCCCCATCATTCAATTAAAATTCTAAATGTGACTTTAGAACTGGAGACAGAGTTTACTTTCCCATTCTTTGGAGGTCAGAGCTTTGATGGTGGTATTTCCCTTTTAAGCATCAATTTACTTAGTTTTAAATTTTAATAGACTTAAGGAACAAATGACTACAAGACTAAACCAATAAATACCTTTCCACTAGCAAGTATCTAGCAACTTTATCAAAAAAAATAAGCAAATCTTGTCATGAACCTAATGGCTCATTCTCTTTTATAAATTATTTTCTGTCAGAAGTAGCGCTTAACCCTTTGCTTCACACTTTCCCATATTGCTTATCTCATTACAGTATGAAAGGTTATTGTTTTAAAATGTATATAACATGATACTAAAGTATTTGCTAAAAAGCGTTTCAGATGTGTAATTAGAGTATAAGTAGAAAAATTACCAACTAAAAGTTTAAAACTTTAATTGGCTAAAAATCACAGTATAATAGGATTCTATTGAGTCTCAGAATTTATGGACTAAATCTGTCTCTCTCTCTCTCCTCTCTCTATCTCTCTCTTCCTATCAGTGTGTATATGAGAATTTATTGGAATAATTTACAGAGTAAAGTCCAACAATGGCTGTCAGGGAATGGGAAGTTCAAGAATCTAGATGTTGCTCAGACCCACCAGATTGGCGTCTCAACGGTTTTGTATATATACTAGAATCCTAAAGAAGTAGACTTCAATGACAATAAAGTAATACCTGTGGTGACAAGCTGAGGGAACACAGAAAGATGTTGGAACCCACAAGACTATACAGTGAATCCACAGCTAACAGACCAATAGGCAGATGCAAGGGACATGTATATGTCTTTGTCCACATGGAGCATCCCATTTTGCAGAGCTGTGGGAACACTTGTCTTTTGGAAAAGTCACTCTCATATCTGTGGAAACCTTGTGAAGCCATGATTCTTCCCTTAGAAATAGGATTTGTTCCCAAATACCTCAGCATTGCGACTTCTGCAGGACAATGGAGAGACCTTGTTCCATTCCCCCACACCAGGAGGCCTCAGAGTGACAACATTCTTTCTTTGTTCTAACACTCAAATTTACACAGAGTCAACCCCACAAAGTTACCAACTCATAGACCACATAGAAATTTGTATAGAAAACAGGCACTGAGCAAAAAGGCAGCATGCTCTACCTTTGCTAAAAAACAAATCTGGGCATCAGTCTGGCCTACAGAATGAGTTCCATAACTACACAGATAAATTTCTGTCTTGAAATCTCAAAAAAAAATCCGATTCAAACAAAGACTTTGACCCAACTTTAACAGCATCTCATGTTCTGGTAACAGCTGTCACATAGAAAGTATACTGAAGAAGAAAAGGTTTGTTTTTACCTCTTTGCCTTAGCTCTGGCTACCAAGCTTATTCCTTTACTAGCGTTAGAGCCCATTTCTTTTTAATCTTGGCGAATACTTAAAACTAACTGAGACATCATGCCTCATGGCTGAACAACTACTGGATATTTCACTTGATCTTAGACGAAAGGCTGAGAACCAATCTCCTGCATTCTTCAATTTTCATTGGTAGGCAACCATTTTTAGATGGCCTGAACCACAGTTTGTGAGACATTTTAATAAGCTCACTTTTTACATAATGGTGAGATTCATTCTACCTGTCCTGTTCATGTAGAGAATCTTGAATATTGCAGTTGTATATTTTATTCACCTGACCATGGAGGGAGACGTGTTGGCTAACAATAGTGCTCATGAAGACATTCTTCCGAGCTCAATTATTCTCTATGTATTCAAATTTCCATGAACACTACTCTTTTGATTTTTATACATTTGTCTGGAGCTTGCTTTGAACTTCAGGAATAAAACTCACACAACAATGGAGCCATCATCCAGCTTTCTGATGGGGGAAAGACCTGTCATTTTGTTTAAGATGTGGCTCCTGCTTTTCTTTTTTCTGTTGTGTGAAATCCCTGTAAAAACTGTGTATAAAGTATCTTCAATTTATCCGACCTCAGCATGACTCAAGGCACAGAACAAACATCTCCTTTTGACCTTAAAACTCTGTTTAACTGTTAATATTCTGGGCATCCTTCCCCGTGTGGGACAGGAAATCACTGCCCCCACCTAGCACAGTGCACAGTACAGGCTAGCTAGCCACAGTGTGTCCTGGAGGGAAAACGGAAAGTTCCTATGGAGTGCAAGAAGATGGCCGGGTCTGCTTTTGGAGCCAGGGGCGAGTGCAATTGAAATGCAAATCTTGGCCGATCTAGAAAAGATCTTTGATTGGAATGGGCAGGAGCCACTGTGCTGTGTCTTTAAGCACACTATAACCCCAAAGGAGGTGTTCTTGTCACTCAGATCTCACTAGCCAATCAGGTCCTCCAGGTGACCTGCCAGTCTGAAGCATTGCAGGGCTCTTCCGGGCACCCGTTTTCAGACTCAGCTTCACGGAGGCACTGGCGACTGTGCTTTCCTGTGCTGAGGCAAAGTTGCTGCTGCTGGCGGATGGTGAACTGAGAGCTTTGGCGAGCTGGGGAACCACAACATGGTGAGCGGGGGAATGCTGTCTCCAGATGGGGAGGGGCAGTGGGTGAGGGGCGGAAGACAGTGTGCTGCGTCCTCCCGGGATCCGTGTGGTAACCTGCCGCCAGATTCCCTGTGCTGTGAAGTCCCATGTGATCCTTGTTAATTTCTCGACCTAGGGACAGAACTCTGAATAACTTTGTGCTGTGACATTAATCTGCTTAGAGAATTGGGAGCATGGTGATCTGTTTACAAACATCTTTCTTGTCAACTTCAGCATGCACTGTGCAGCGATATGGAGGCAAAGCACAGGCACAAGTCAAATTAAAAACAGGTTAAATGACAAAAGAATAAAATTCTCCCAGTGATATCACATAGCTGAGACAGACAACAGCCAAGGATAGTTAAAATTAACTCTCTCTCTCCTCCTTCCTGGAAGAAACTGGTCTTCTTCTGAGTCAGTCTGCACAGAGGCAAAAGCAGCCTTGTTCTGATTGAAAAATAACTCAGTAAAGACATCCAACTAAAAGCACTGACCACTGTACAATAGGTGACTTTTATTTCCTGTTTCATGTATTTGTGTTCTGTGTCTGTTGTGTTTGTGAGTATTGTGATATCGATACATGTCTCTTAGATGAAATATCATTAAAATGTTGCATAGGACCCAAAGCACTTGAATATCATGGTGCCGTTTTCTTGATTTTGCAGCTAAGACTTTAAGATACAAGATGAACATGCCAGTATTACTTATCCATCATTTTTATAATTTTTATAAGTTCCTGCATGACTTTGAGGTGAGAATGTCCCTAAATATCTCAGCTTTTAAATTGTGATAATGTTCAGAAGTGGATTTGGTAACTGAGTATGTTTAGAGGAGAGATGGCTCATTGGTTAAGAGCATTGCCTGCTCTTCCAAAGGTCCTGAGTTCAATTCCCAGCAACCACATGGTAGCTCACAACCATCTGGAATGAGGTCTGGTGCCCTGTTCTGGCCTTTAGGCATACACACAGACAGAATATTGTATATATAATAAATTAATTAATTAATTAACCAATTAATTTAAAACAAAAAAGAAAGAGAGAACTCTACCTTAACATGGCCAGAATCCCTAAATAAAGTCCCCATGCTTTCATTTTTAAGAAAATCATTGTTAAGAAATATTTTCCCATGTTCTTGCATTTTGGAAGCAAGAAATTTTTTCATTCCTTCTCTTTTGGCTGTTGTGATGGTTTTTCTTGGTAGCCAAACTGATTACTTGTGGAAGACACAAATGCACAATGAATTGGGTACATCTGTGAGACACTTTACCTCAAGGTTTTTAAGTGGCAAAACTTTATATTAATCTGAATCATTTGAGCTAACTAAAACTGCCTTTAATCCGGGTGAGACCTTCTGGTGGCAGTCTACATATGTAAAGAATATTGAAGAAGGAAGCTTTTTCTCTTTGTGTGATTTCTCTGCCTGTGGTTGGGAAGGTCATTCTTTTACTCTTTAGAGTCCAGTTCTTAGGAATTTTGGTATATCCTGAAGATCATCTGAGAACACTGGTTGAATAGCTATTGAATTCTTCAACTTTCTATTGGTAGACAGTCAAGGTTGGACTAGCTGGCCCACAGCCTAATAAATCCACTTTTGAAATACATACATAGCGTTTGTTCTGTCAGTTCCAGTCAAGCACAGAACCTTGACAATACTGCCATGATTTCATTTTCCCACTGAGTAAATGTGGTAGCTAATATAGAGCTCATACAGCCATTCTTCCTTGCTCCACGTCTCTCTAAGTGTTCAGTATATTCTAAAGACTACACTTTTTATTTTCTTAAGTTGTCAGGAGATTGAAATGGATTTAATTGAAAAACCCCTAATGCCATGGCGCCATCATCCAGTCTTCTGATGGGAGAAAGACCTAATATCTTGGATTTTATTTCTCATTTCTGCTTTTCTCTCCTAGTTGTCTAAAGTCCCTGCTACATCCAGATACCTTCAGTTCACCCAATCTCAGTGTGAAGCCACAGATCATTTCCTTTTCCTCCCCTAAAATCTCTCTTAATTTTGGGCACCCTTCCACCTGGGAAAATGGGGAAGCATTTTGTAATGGGCTAGTCACATTGTGTCCAGGCAGAAGAATGGAAAGAGTCTGTGGAGTGCAGGATGGTTGCTGGGTCAGCTTTAAGAGTCAAAGCAAGTGTTACTGAAATGCTTTTCTCTGTAGATTTGGAATCTGGGTCTGGAGGGGGATGCAGTGCCAGGAATCACTGTGCTGTGTTTTTAAGCACACCGTATCTTCAAGGGACCTGCTCTTGTCCCTCAGTCACCACAAGCTAGTCAGGTCCTTCATTCAGGCCTGCCAGTCCGAAGTGGTACAGGGCTTTTGCTTTGCTGGGGTGAGGATGCAAAGCTGACTTTGTAGCATAGTAGGATTCAGTGGTTTTGTGTGTTGTTCTATGAAGGCAGGAGACTTACGGCAAGCTGCAACATTTTAAAGTAATCGCTCAGCCATTCTTTCACGAGTGACTTATTAGAACCAAGGGCTTTGGTGAGGGTTAAAACAAAAGGCAAGGATTTTTTGCATTATTGTTTTGTGAACCAAGTGGCTGATTTATCTGTAGATTTCCTAAAGGAAGCTCACTTTCTGTTACACGTTTGTGAATTAATTCCAACAACTCAGATGGTTGCCTATTCTTTTGGGACTTATTGATCGCTTTGCCCTAGCTATGGGAGAAACAATTTCCCACTGCCAGGGCATTATTTCTCTTTCCTAGATAAATGCCAAGCTCTCCCTTCCTGCAATTATCTTTAGCAGGAGCCATTTGGTCAGTGTTTAGGGTATAGCCAAATGCAACTCATTTAAGATATTCGCAGCTATCCAAGGACATAGAAGTACTGTTTGCCCAAAGGTGGCGACTCACAGATGCTCAGATAGAAGTATAAGCTTGTCCTGGTTTTACCTCACTTATGGGAATATCTTCATCAAAACATTTCTACCTCCTTACTCTTACCTTCACCTCAGTTTACTGATGACTTTAGTTCAGGAAACATACTGCTTGTGTTTTACTATCAAGGACAGCTGCAGAGACAATTAACTGAAATCCTGAGAAAGATCGCCTGCTGGTGTCACAGACCCACAGTGCCCACTCTCAGAATGGTTGATAGCAGCATACTCCAGAACTGATTATCTAGAGGCCTGGGTCTCCTCTTTGTTTTCACTATTAGAACAATACGTGTAAACTCAGACCTAGGCCCATGGAAATTGCAGTGTCTGGTGCTGATCAGATCAGCAGCCGTTAGCTAACCCCTGACTGGTGGTTACCCTGTCCCCTTTAGAAGTACTGTGAAGAAAAAAAAGTGGCATGGTGATTTTAAAAACAATCCATCCCCTATTCATAAAGTTACTGAAGATATGCCATGGGAGAGTCATTCTGTCTACTTGAGTACTGAACTCCTCCTCAGCTGAATTCACCTTTTGATCAGTATTTATGTGGAATAAAAGGATCTTTAGGCCCTTTTCCCATTTGCAGAGATTATCCACATTCCTCTTCCTTAGATGTCTTCTCTCACCAATTTTCTAATCATGTGTTTTACTAATCCCTGATCCTCCAGTCAAACCACTGGATAACGTCCATCAGTAAGTAAATTCTTAGGTGCACATTAGGTCATTTCTCCTTCCAAATAAATGGTATGAAAATGTATACTGTTTGAAGTTCTGCCCACTGTGAAGATTTCCCTTCACAAGTACTTTTCAGGGTTGTCCCAGAAAGCGGTTGTAATCCTGCAGTTGTCCAACTCTGGGTGGTTACAGGATGATGTATAGAGCCATCAGCCAGGGCCTAGTCTTCTCTTCCTCGTTTGATGTCAGGGATTGTGATACCTACAGAATTTCTTATTGTACAGGATTGTTTCGGCTATCCTGGGTTTTTGCCTTTCCCTATGAAGATGACTACCATTCTTTTGAGGTCTGGGAGAATTTTGCTAGGATTTTGATGGACATTGCAATGAATCTGTAGATTTCTTTTGATAAGATTGCCATTTCTAGGGGGCTGGAGAGATGGTTCACTGGTTAAGAGCATTGACTGCTCTTCCAGAGGTCCTGAGTTAATTCCCAGCAACCATATGTGGCTCACAACCACTGGTAATAAGATCTGGTACCAACTTCTGTCTGCAGGGATACATGCAGGCAGACCATTGTATACATAATAAATAAATATTTTAAATTAAAAAAAAATGATTACCATTTCTACTATCCTAATTCTACCTACCCAAGAGCATGAAAGATCTGGTGTCTTCTTCAATTTCTTTCTTTGAAGATTTATAGTTTTTGTCCTACAAGTTTTCCACTTATTTGGTTATAGTTACTCTGAGATATTTTATGCTATTTGTGGCTATCATGAAAGGTGACGTTTCTCTGATTTCTTTCTCAGCCCTTTTATCATCTGTGTACAGCAGGGCTACTGATTTTTTTTTGTGTGTGTGTGAGTTAATCATTAATCATGCTACGTTACTACAAGTGTTTGTGAGTTGTACAAGTTCCTTAGTATTGTTTTTGGGATTGCTTAAGGACACTGTCATATTATCAGCAAATAGTGAGAGTTTGCCTTCGCCTTTTCTGATGTGTATCCCCTTGATCTCCTTTCCATGTCTTATTACTCTAGCTAGCATGTCAAGAACTATATTGAATAGATATGAAGAGAGTGGACAACCTTTTTCTTTGGGGTTTTCTTGGCTTTTTTTTTTTTGGTTTTTTTTTTTTTTTGGTTTTTTGAGACAAGCGGGGTTTCTTGGTAGCTTTGGAGCCTGTCCTGAAACTAGCTCTTGTAGACCAGGTTGGTCTAGAACTCACATAGATCAGCCTGCCTCTGCCTTCTAAGTACTGGAATTAAAGGTGGTTGCCACCACAGCCTGGCTTACACTTATTTCTTTTCTTTTTTTTCTTTTTTTTTGGTTTCTCGAGGCAGGGTTTCTCTGTGGTTTTGGAGCCTGTCCTGGAACTAGCTCTTGTAGACCAGGCTGGTCTCAAACTCACAGAGATCCACCTGCCTCTGCCTCCCAAGTGCTGGGATTAAAGCGTGCACCACCACCGCCTGGCTAGAAGTATTTCTTTTACATATGAGGGTGCCCTTGTATGTGGGGCATAGATATTCAGTATTAAAATTTCCTCATGATGGATTTTTCCTGTGACTAATATAAAATGTCCTTCTTTGTCTCTTTTGATTTATTTTCGTTTGAAGTCTATTTTGTTAGATATTAGGATGGCTACACCCACTTTATTCTTAAGTTCATTTGATTGGTATATTTTTCCCAACCCTTTACTCTTAGATGATATCTGTCTTTAAGGTTGTGTTTCTTGTATGCAGAAGAAGGATAGATTCTGGTTTTGTATTCAATCTATTAGCCTGTGCCTTTTTATAGGTGAGTTGAGTCCATTTATATTAAGGGATATTAATGACCAGTGATTGCTAGCTCCTGTTAATTTAGTTTTCATTGTTGGTGAGGTTAATTTGTGCATTTTCCCCTTCTTTGGGATTTGCTTCTATGAGATTATCAATTTTCTGTGGTTCTTTTAATATTGTCAGCTTCCTTGGGTTGGAGTTTTCCTTCTAGTATTTTGTGTAGGACTGGGTTTGAGGCTGGATATTGGTTAAATGTGGTTTTGTCATGGAATATCTTGCTTTGTCCTTCTATGGTGGTAAAAGTTTTGCTGGGTATCATCATCTGTGCTTGCATCCATGGTCTCTTAATGTCTGCATAATGCTTGAACACGACCTTCTGGCTTTCATTGTCTCTAATGAAAAGTCAGGTATAATTCTAGCCTAGCTAGCTAGTTCAGTTTCGCTTCCATGGAGCTCACCACCTCTGGCCTGCTCTGGCCTTTGTCCCTAACCCAGTCCTGCCTCTGCAAATGATGCTGGTCTGGATCTGCCCCTGCTCTCATGGAGTTCACTCATTTTACATGGTTGACTATGAACCACTAGTGACTGGGTCAGAGTGTCCTTCATTGAATGAACAGCCTCCCAGAGAAGATCATGTACTTGAACAAGTTTCTCTCCTTGGTGGCTTTTGTTCAATTTCCTGTGAACCTTTATTAGGATAAGCCTCTCTGGATGAAATTCCTCATTTTATGTGATGAGTCTCAATACTGTCAACTAATTTCCTGACCTTTTTATCTACTGTGTTGTGGTTGAAATTAATCAGCTAACTTCCTAGTCATACTGAAATGCTTTTACCATCATTATAAGCTTGACCACTAAATCGCATTGGATAGAGCAGAAACAGTTGCTATTTAGTGCTCAGGAGTTTGGTAACCTGCAGTTTTAATTGTTTTGTTTGCTTATCTGAGTAACCCTTGTAGTGTGGCTACAAATTCCTGAAAGTAAAGGGGGACATCATTCCGGGCTCTATTTGTTTTTATGTCATTGAGTGATGGCCCTGGAATGTAGGTTTTTTACATGTCAAATGTATGCTGCTGTGCTCAGCTTCATGCATATTTTGAATTTGAAAAGTTGAGAGAGCATATCATTCTCATTCCCAGGATGCCATGTAGTCATGACATTAATACTGCCTGAGCATTCAGAGTCAGTGAATCGCTTGTTATGCTTGCTTTGAATTGTTTACTCAATGTGATTATTTTATGTGTCTGCATGGCTATGCACCATATGGGTACCTAGTCCTCAGAGTGATCAAAGCGTCTCAGAAATCCTGAACTTAGAATAATGTATAGTTGTGATCCCCATGTAAGTACTGGCAGTTGTGCCCACCTCTATACAAGACCAACAAGAGCTCAGTACTACTCAGCCATCTCTCCAGACCTGTGTTCATTATTTATGCCCAACATTTATTGCTAATATTTTCAACTGTCCATTTGTAACTGTTTTAAATATGAAATTTCCTTTCATAAAATGTTACTGGCATTGCAGTTTAAATTAGGGCACTTCAGATGTCTCTGGAAGTTGAATACAGAACTGAAGCGAATGCATCACTCTTTGTAGGAACTTCAGTAAAAACCTCTGAATTCTTCTATTTGATTTGTTTGTTTCACTGATTTTTGCAATCGAGACAGGATCTTAATGTGTACTTCCACCTGTCTTGGATACGATTCCATAGACTTGGCTGGCATTCAACTCAGAGACAAATATACACACCTCTGCTTTCTGAGCGCTGCACTTAAAGGCATGAGTCAATACACCCAGTTTGTCCATTGTATTTTTCTGCTTTGTAATTAGTATTTCTTCGTACAATTTTTTTTCATGTCTACTATGTCCTGATGATCTGTTTCCTTGTCTCTCTTTGTTAATAGACAGTTCCTTGTAAGGTGATATCCCATTCAAAGGGTACAGAAATGACAGACTTGCCTCTCCTATTCAATTTCCTTCTAAAGTGAATGTCTGTGTCATGAAATAAGAGTGGGGAACACCAGAATTATATGACTATACTGTCAAAGAAGTATACATTTACAATGTTGTCACCATCATGCTTCTCTTATACACATGAATGAAATATTTTAGAGGGCAGTGACCTATGATGATGTGCATATCAACTTCACTTGGGAAGAGTGGAATTTGCTGGATCGTTCCCAGAAGAATCTCTACAAAGATGTGATGCTGGAGACCTACAGGAACCTCGCTAGTATAGGTAAAAATGAATTTCCTTCATGTTTCAAAATAAGGGGACAACTTTTCCTTGGTTAATAATGTTCTTCTGTAATTTGATTTAGAAAGAAGAATAATGAGGTGAAAAAAGCAGTCATAGTTCTAAGGTTCTCTTAAGATAGTAACATTATTGCACAGTATTTGATAACATAACAGATATTTTCTGATATTATATTTTAGGATACATTTGGGAAGACCATAATAGTGAAGAATATTGTCAATGTTCTAGAAGATATAAAAGGTAATTTTCACATGAAAGCTGATAACAACGCCTCTGGTGAAACTGTGATGTGTCCTGAAAGCTTTAAACAAAAGCAGCAGTGTAAAGAAGCACAGCTCTAAGTGCATTAATGGTTATTAAATTCTCACAAATCCATATTTCACGTATGTGAATTGCATTTGAATGACATTCTTTTTAAAAGGAAGTCAAGAAAGCAATGGCTAAATAGATATCACCATTTGAGGCACAGCACCATGAGAGCTTTATTGTAGATCTTTGAATCCATTTATTTCTTGCTACTCTAATGAAAAGGCATATACATTGAAGAGATGATATTTTTGTACTTATATATATATATTTGTATGTACATATATGTGTATTTGTATAAATAATAATTTGTATATCTGCAAAACTTTCTACTAAACCAATATTCCATTGTAAATTTTGTCTTACTCATATACTTCTTGTGACTGTGCTAAGTTTAGTGAGAGAGAGGCAGAGTCAAGAGTCAAGGGGCTATTGTTGTGGAGAAACCTTAATACCTATACCTATACCACAAGTCTATGAGGGACAGCAAGTAAATCCTGAGAATTCAATGTGGAAATCTTTTATTTGTTATTCTATACTATGTGTACCATATGTTACTCTTGATACAAGTGTATGAGCATAGAGATAGTGAAATATAGCATACCACTCTCTAAGAACAATTAGAACACAAGCAGTAGTCCCCATGTAGATTATAATTGTTGAATTTGATTCAAGTATACAAGTAATTGGTTTTCTACCATCATTGTTCATACATGAACAAACTCACACTGCAAAAAAATCCCTAGAGTTCTGGAACTGTGCAAATACTTCTGGGTGCCCTAGTTCACATAGCAAATGTAATCACATTCACAGTATAGGAGAATTTATGATTGCAATAAAGTTGGTAAAGCTCTGAGTTTATCCTGTTCTCTTCCAATATGTGTAAAATACCATATAGAAAAAAATCTGTAAAGAGGAAAAGGTAAGCCAAGAAAGAAAAGAATTTACCATCAAAGGTATTTTCAGAGTTGCAAGACAACCCCTAATTAAAGAGAAAAACGAGTTTAGACACAGTTATAAAAACTCATGATCTGATTTCTCTTTATAATTAGTACATATTGTAGCATAAATTCATTCAAATGTGTATGAACAGTATGTGCTGAATGTGGTAAAACTTTTATATGTGCCAATTATCCTTGCAGGATTGAAAGAATTCAAACTCAAGAGAAACTTTCAGTATATATTCAATGTGGTAAACCCTTGACATATGATACTTACCTTAAATGGAATGAAGGAACCCATACTGGAGAGAAAACCTATGAAACTAGTCAATGTAGTAAAGCCATTTCTTATCACAGTTATGTTCAAATGTATAAAAGAAGACACACTGGAAAGAAACCCTATGAATGCAATCAATGTGATAAAGCCTTTGCTCTTTACAAAACTCTTCAAAGTCATAAAAGAATACATACTGGAGAGAAAGCCTATGAATGTAATCAATGTGGTAAGACCTTTGCACGTCACAGTAATCTTCAAAAGCATAAAAGAACACATACTGGAGAGAAACCTTATAAATGTAATCAGTGTGGTAAAGCCTTTGCTCAACTCAGTCATCTTCAAAGTCATGAAAGAACACATAGTGGAGAGAAGCCTTATGAATGTAATCTGTGTGCTAAAGCCTTTGCACAGTACAGTGCTCTTCAAAAACATAAAAGAACACATACTGGAGAAAAACCCTATGGTTGCAATTACTGTGGTAAGGCCTTTGCACAGTACAGTGCTCTTCAGTACCATAGAAGAACACATACTGGGGAGAAGCCCTATGAATGTAATCAGTGTGGTAAGGCCTTTGCAGCTCACAGTAATCTTCAAAACCATAAAAGAACACATACTGGAGAGAAACCCTATGAATGTAATCAGTGTGGTAAGACCTTTGCACGTCATAGTCATCTTCAATTGCATAAAAGAACACATACTGGAGAGAAACCCTATGAATGTAATCAGTGTGGTAAGGCCTTTGCACAACCTAGTCCTCTTCAAAGGCATAAAAGAACACATACTGGAGAGAAACCCTATGAATGTAATCAGTGTGGTAAGACCTTTGCAGCTCACAGTAATCTTCAAAGTCATAAAAGAACACATAGTGGAGAGAAACCCTATGTATGTAATCAGTGTGGTAAGGACTTTGCAGAGCAGAGTTCTCTTCAAGTGCATAAAAGAACACATACTGGAGAGAAACCCTATGAATGTAATCAGTGTGGTAAGGCCTTTGCAGCTCACAGTAATCTTCAAAAGCATAAAAAAACACATACTGGAAAGAAACCATATAAATGTAATTAGTGTGGTAAAGCCTTTGCATATTGCAGTCATCTTCAATTAAATAAAAGAACACATACTGGAGAAAAACCCTATGAATGTAATCAGTGTTGTATGGCCTTTACAACTCCCAGGAATCCTAAAAGTCATAAAACATCTCACTTTTGATAGAAACCCTACAAATGTAATCTGTGTAACAAGAACTTTGCAGACCACTGTACTCTTCAAGTGCATGAAAGCATGCATACTGGAGAAAAACCCAATGAATGAAATCAGTGTTGTAAGGGTTTTGCACAGCACAGTCATCTTCAAAGGCATAAAAGAACATGAAAAAGTATGAATGGAATCAGTGTGGGAAAGCCTTTTCATTTCTTATTCATCTTCAAATGCATAAAAGTACGTATACTGAAGAGAAACCATGAATGGAATCTATGTGGTCAATCCTTTGTCACAATAATCTCCAACTACATAAAATAAACCATCCTGGAGATAAACTATGAATTTAATGAGTGTAGTCTTCAAAAGCATGAAAAATACCATACTGCAATGAAACTCTATCAAGGAATTTGGTGTGATAATGTTTTGCAATTTATACAGGAGTAAAACTTTTGCGTGTGATCAATCTGATAAATTTTTTTCCACATTATAATAGTCCTTGGGTACCTGAAGAAGAAACTGAGGGCTCCTTCTTAAAGCTAATACACTTACAGTCATTTAACCAACAACATTTACTCTTCAAAAAAATTGACAGTTTCAACAATCTGTTCAAGCACTAGGATACCTCTTTATTTTGTTTACACTAGCAAAACTGATGGACAAAACCTAAATTTTTAATTTATGACATCCTATGGTTAGAAGAGCTAGTCAAAGAATTATACCCTGGTACTGAAATGAGATCCAAAGGAAAACACTTTTTTCCTGAATCTAGAGTTAGTGAAAGAAACAACCCTTTAAACAGAGCCAAAAAGGCAAAAAAAGGGCCAGTGAAGGAAACATACTTTGGCTCTCAAACCAGAGCCAAAGAAATACACTTCATCCTTGTCCAACTGAGCACAAAATCCAGCCCATCTTTTAGCTTATTCAAGCTCAGGGATTGAAATCCAACCAATACCTCCCTTCCAAATATCCTTAGGCCTCTGGTTCTAAGAAGCCTTATATGAGCCATTCAGTAGGCAGCTGCCACTTTCTGCCATGGCAGAGGCAACCACACTCCTGGTTTCTTCCTTCCCAAATACATCTCTTGATTGTGATTTGTATGAAGACCTTGCACTGAGATGGATCAGAAACTCCCTTGTGGAGCTGAACTGAGATACAATTGATACTTATCCTTAGAAACACGTTTAGCCCAGAAAGAGGACAAAACAATGGACACCTTTTTTCAGCAACAGAGGTTTCTACTGGGCAACTCTCTTAGAATGGAGCAGATCCCAACTGTGATGGCTCTCTCTCAGAAAGGAATAGGATGGCTGCATCTAGTGGACTGATCTTTCCTTTACAACTGTAGGTGTTGCCTGACTTCATGCAGTAAGGGTACCTTTCCCTCCAGAACTGTAACTCTTGCACTATGAATATAAATAAAGTAATCATTTTAGATTTTATACTTCTCTTCAATTGCATGGCTTAAGTAATTCAGATATGAATCATGGATGTCTACTTGCTCCTTTTTTGCTGTGATGTAATGACTATTTCAAATTACAGATGCAATTTATTTGGCTCTTGGTTCTATAGGATAAAAGGATCAACATGAAAGTGTCATGACAACAAGTGTCAGACATGGCACCTAAAGCAGGAGCTTAAGAATTCATATCCTTAACCTCCCACATGGAGCCGAGGATGGGAACTGGAGTTGGTGTCTGGATGTAAATTCTCATAGCTTACTCTCAGTGACATATTTCTTTCCACATGACAGCATGTCCTAATTCTTCCCAAATAATACCACCAATTTAGGAGGATTATTTTTTCTTACTTCAAGCTTAAATTTTCCTTCTCTTTACACAAACCAATTCATGATGAAAGTTGTTTTAATTGTAATTATGTGATGTATGTGTGTATGCCTGTAGGTATATGAATTTGCATTCTGTATCCTGGGAAAATTAACACTTTGGATCATCTTGTAGCAGGAATTACAGGAAGCTGTTAAAAATCTGATCTTAGTCCTGGGAATGAACATTTTTAGTCACCTAGCCATGACTCTATTGCTGTAAATATGTTAAGTTTTATTTATATCACTGGAAGTATGGAATATGTGTAAACTCATAAAGAAGAAATCCCTGTTCATGAGAACAATTTGTTAATGACTTTAGATATCACAGTTGTCTTTAGTTTCAAGAAAAAATATTTTGCATGATAGCCTTGAAGGAAGTAAATTACATACCATGTTCACTCCAGACTGATGGTGGTGATCATTCCATTCTGATTTCTATTTTTAAACATTTGTGGTAGTCAGTAAAGTGCTATATGTGTGGCAAATCCATTTAATGATGTTTATTTTGTAGACCTTATATTCCTTCTATGGCCTTTATTTATCTTCTATTGTGCCTGTACCTAGTGATAGGTGTTAATCTGCTGTAATGTATAGAATGTTGTCCCCATTGTATAATTGTCCCATTGGTTATTGAAATATCAGGCCATGTTTGATTATACTTTTCATGTAAGGGTGGTGGTTTGTTGTTCCTGGTTTTGATTTTCACCTTTTCACAATTCCCTTGCGATTTTGTTGTTTGTTATTCATTTTCCATTGAATGTTAGTAATGATTCAGGGAAACATTTGAACTGATGATGCTCATTTGTCTTGCTCTTGAGTACAAGTCCAAGGACAGATGATGAACACCCAATATGTGCTGTTTTTTTTTTTCAAGAGAATTTAAGAGTGTTAAAGTTAAAATGACTGATAAAAGAAATTATAAGAAACATTAAATACCTCATGTGTGTATTCAAAAAAGTATTTTCATTTATTTTTATTTATCTTATATAGATGTAACAAAGTATGATAATCAGCCATTAACTGTGTGTGTAAAAGCATAGCTTGGTGTTCTATAGGGATTGAGGTTAGGTTTGTAGTCTGGCACACAACAGTCCTTTCCCATCGTGACAATTCACGGGTGCTCACATTTCACTGGAAAAATATTAAAAAGGTAAAATTTATTTATTTTGAGGACTAGACATTTATTTATAATGCTTTCTCAGAACCAAAATAATATGGCATAGAATTGCCTCATGTAGGAAAGTTCATTGCTGCGAAATCTGATGACCTGGGTTCAATCTCTGGGTTATGCAAAATGCTTCTACAAGTTTTCTCCTATTTCTTTACTTCAGCAGTTGCATATATACAATCCTCCAACAGCTTATTCATGAATAATTTTTAAATCTAAAAAAGTGCCATTGAGGTCATTTTCTTTCAAATGAATCACTGTTTAATCGCTAAATCTCACAAAGCAGAAGTAGATCATAGACCCCTGTTAATTTCCTACCAATGCTGCATACACATCATGGCACAGGTATATTCATGTTGCACGAGGAGGGTGACCCTTTGTCCCGGCCGCCCAGCTAGCTTACACCCAAAATAACCACACAGAAATTGTATTACTTAAATCACTGCCTGGCCCATTATCTCTAGCCCCTTATTGGCTAACTCTCACAACTTGATTTAACCCATTTCTATTAATCTGTTTATCAGCACGAGGTCATGTCTTACCGGGAAAGATTCAGCATGTCTGATTCTGGCAGCACCATGGTGGTTCTCTGACTTTGCTTTCTTCTTCCCAGAATTCAGTTCCATTTTCTCTGCCTACTAAATTCTACCCTATCAACTAGGCCAAGGCAGTTTATTTATTTACCAATGAAAGCAACACACAAACATATTCACACAGACACACTTCATAAATTTTTAAATGAATGGAATTTACAGTACAAAGAAAATAACCCATTATTTAGAACATATGAAATGATTTGGCCATTTTAATTATAAAAATTCAAGAAATATTTCTATTCTTCAAAACATTGATGCTCCTTTAAAAAACTTATTTTATTCTTTCTTTCTCTGATTCAATGATAAGTCCTTTAAAAACATATTTAGCTGGACATAGAGGTGCATGGCTATATTCACAACACACAGGAGTGTGGGTGGGACCAATCTCAGTGAGAACAGCTTGTTCCCCATAATAAATTCCTGGCATCTATAGATATATGGAGATATCCCATGTCAGAAATTCAAAAAGAAAAAGTCTATCTCAATTTATGGAACTTTTCCTATTAAAATCTGGCTGGAGTCAGATTGATTCAATGAACTATTTTTATCTTTACTCACCTAAAGAGTACTGTGATATCAACTTCATATGGAAAAGCAAAAAACCCAGTATAGCCAAAAACAATCCTATACCTAAAAGAACTTCTAGAAGCATCACAATCCCTGACATCAAATTCTACTACAGAGTTACAGTAGTGAAAACAGCCTGGTATTGCCATAAGAATAAACAAGAGGACCAATGGAACTGAATAGAAGACTCAGATATTAATCCATACACTTTTGAACACCTGGTTTTTGACAAAGAAGCAAAAAATATCAAGTGGACAAAAGAAAGCATATTTAACAAATGGTGCTGGCATACCTGGATATCAACATGTATAAGAATTGAAATAGAACCATATCTATCACCATGCACAAAACTCAAGTCGAAATGGATCAAAGACCTCAACTTAAAGCCAAACACACTGAACCTTATAGAAGAGAAAGTGGGAAGTACTCTTGAGCTCATTGGCACGAGACCACTTTCTAAATAGAACCCAGTATCAAAGACACTGAGCAAAACAATAAATGGGACCTCTTGAAACTGAGAAGCTTCTGTAAAGCAAAGGAAACAGTCAATAAGACAAAACGACAGCCTACAGAATCGTAAAAGAACTTCACTAACCCCACATCAGATGAAGGTCTGATCTCCAAAATATACAAAGAACTCAAGAAATCGGACACCAAAAGATCACATAATCCAACAAAAATGGAGTACAGACCTAAACAGAATCTGAAAGACCCTTAAGAAAATGTTCAACATCCTTAGTCATCAGAGAAATGTAAATCAAAACAACTCTGCATTTCCATCTTACACCTCTAAGAATGCTCCTTGACCAAAGAATGGATAAGGAAAATATGGTACATTAACACAATGTCATACTACTCAGTAGAAAAAAATAATGACACCTTGAACTTTGCAGGAAAATGGATGGAGCTAGAGAAAATTATTTTGAGTGAGGTTAACCCAGACCCAGAAAGACAATTATCTCATGTACTCACTCATAAGTGGTTTTTAACACAAAGGAAAGAAAACCAGCCTACAAATCACAATTCCAGAAAACTTAGACAACAATGAGTACACTACGAGAGACTTACATAGATCTGATCTACATTGGAAGTAGAGAACGACAGGGTCTCCTGAGTAAATTGGGAGCATGGAGACCTTGGGGGAGGTCTGAAAGGGGGAGGGGAGAGGCAGGGAGGGGAGCAGAGAGAAATGTAGAGTTCAATAAATTTAATTAGAAAAACAAGCCAATGGGGGCTGGAGAGATGGCTCAGAGGTTAAGAGCATCGCCTGCTCTTCCAAAGGTCCTGAGTTCAATTCCCAGCAACCACATGGTGGCTCACAACCATCTGTAATGAGGTCTGGTGCCCTCTTCTGGCTTTCAGGTATACATGCAGACAGAATATTGTATACATAATAAATAAATATTAAAAAAAAAAAAAAAGAAAAACAAGCCATTGAGGAGTAAGCAAATCAGCAACATTCTTTCATGGCCTTTGCATCAGTTCCTGCCTTGAATTCTCTTCCTTATTTCACTGATAAATGGACTAGAAGTTGTAAGAAGAAATAAACTCCTCAAGTTGAAAGAAAAATAAGCAATATAGAAATTCCATTTCTGTTCAGTCCATTGAATCTTTGGACCACCATCTAGAGGACATTTATATCCTTTAAGTGCTAGGAGACAGAAGAAATAGTGTGGTACCTTCACCTTCAGCATTATACGACATAGGTGGGACCTGGAGAGTTGTCTCAGGAGGACTGATCCTTTTGGGTGCCCAAATTTGTTTCATAGCACCACATATGATTAGTCAGAACTTCCTGTCATTGAAGGCCCTGAAAATCTGGTGCATTCTTCTGATCTTCTAGGAAAACAGATATGCAAATGTTGAAAAGACAGGTATGTATTTGACTCCATGTTTTAAATAGGTATTCTTCCTGTGCCTGTTATCTTCACACACAGTGAATTTCATTTAGATGTTGACATTTGACCAGTGGATATACCAAGGGTATCCCAGGTACCAGTGGTGACCAGAAGATGGTGTCTAATCCCCTGTGACTGGAGATACAGACAGTTGTGGGTGCTGGGTATCAATGTTAGGCCCTGTGGATGAGTCTTAAGTGTTCTAAGTGCTCAGTCTTCTATTCATCCTTATGAAAACGTCATTAATAATAGTGAGGTGTGAAAGGCTGATATAATAAATTCATCTGGGTCAGCCTTGATGACCCAGAAGAAATAAAAGATAGATAGGACCAGAACCTAACTTAGATTTGATTCTTTTAGAATTTCTGAACATCATGCATGATCAAAAATATAGTTTTGCTTTGTAAATCTCCATCTGCCTAAGAGGTTAGACATGCCTTCTCCTGTCCCATTTTTTTTGTTTGCTAGTTTTTGTTTTGTTTTGTTTTGGTTTGGTTTGGTTTTCATGACAGGATTTCTCTGTAGTTTTGGATCCTGTCCTGAGACTAGTTCTTGTAGACCAGCCTGGCCATGGAGTCACAGAGATCCCCCTGCCTCTGCCTCCTGAGTTCTGGGATTAAAGACTTGCACCACCACTGCATGGGTTCTCCCATTTTTTAAAAAAATGTTCATAGTATATCCTTGGGCCTAAACCCAAAAGGGACTTCAAGATGACAGCTTATGTGGAATGCAGATCTTTTCCAGGCTGATTCCTCTTTTGAAAATTAACTACCCCCGATGCATGGTGTTATTACAGAGATTTTGTTTATTAAACTTAAGTTTGTGGAATGATTTATGCATAGGAAGGCATAATTCTAGAACATCAGTATCTTCAGTTTGTAGAAAAATGATTCTGAATCCAAATTTCTTAGGTTGGATCATGCAGCCTTGATCCCACTCCATTGTTCCCCAGGGAAATAACCTTGTTCTCATGATTAAACCAAACAAATTATTAGGTTAAGCAACTCAATTACCACTCAGTTATAAAATTACAAATTTCAGTCATTGAGTCAACTGTCCATTTCAGTAATAGAAAAAGGATTTATGTGTGGAGTGAGGTTTCTGCCTTCATACCATAATAGGTGGAATAGTTTACTCTGTAGACTATAGGGAAAACACTATAGACAACAGTTGAGGAGTCAACATTATGAAATAAGACATGATTGTAGATGGATATGTGATTTTGTTATTTTCCAGCATGTATTGATCCACGGCATGTCAATGAAGTCAGACCAGATTTCTGTATACAATGTGAGAAGATTTATTGAGCCAAAGAATATGGAATTTGCAAGAAGGAACTCTCATACAGATGTGTTCAACCTTGCTGTCATTGTTCCATCCATTCGCTGTAACTGCATGTGTCAGCTGACAGGTCTCAGCAGCTGACGTTACACATGAGCACAGGCTGAAGTAATAGCTTATTAATGCCATTCCCTCTGCCAGGGAATGACTTTACCTTTGGCAAAGTCAGTGTAGCTTTGTGTTTTTTTCGGTTATACTTGCTTTTCTTTATAAAAACAATTATGAGGGCCGGGCGGTGGTGGCGCACGCCTTTATTCCCAGCACTCGGGAGGCAGAGGCAGGCGGATCTCTGTGAGTTCGAGA